GTATGTTGTGAAAAATGCTAGGAATGACATTTAATCGGTGAAAATGAGCTTAGATAGTTATATGACTATACTTTGAAAATGGCAAGATTTAATGCTTGATGTTGGATTTTCTTGCATTAATGATAAATGGTTTGGTTTGGTTGATTGATGATTGTGTCCTAATGATGTCTAGGATTGAGGCATTTGGACCAACCGTAAGTGATCAACCATTGGAGCAAGCAATGGAGCTTGATTAGCTCTTTGGGATAGGTAAGTCCATGCCAATTGTGGTGTGGTATTGTTGTATTGATGATGAATATATGTAGATATTCATTGAATTGCATGATTGATGCTATGACACCTGGATGTAGGTGTGTGTTGTGTAAACCATAGCTTGAAACCAAAGTTGATTGATTGTGGAACCGGTTGGTGGGAACAAAGGTTGACTAAAGCTTGAGGTAAGCCTTCGGACCTTGGGTGTAATTCCCTCGATTGTTCCACCAAGCCCTGAAAGGGTAGTGGTTGTTGATAGTGTATATAAATGCAATGAAATAGTGTAATGCTTTGTTATACGTATGTGTATGCATTTGGTGTGGCATAGGATGGTGTTTCCCTATGTTGGTATGTTGCATGACGATGCGTAAATCATACTTGGTAGTTAGCTGGCCAGTAGGACTATTTGCATCTGAGTTTTCTTAGTACAGCTTGAGAGCTCGAGGTATTTCTCCTGGAGATGTTATTGCACTTTGCATAGATATGTATTTACTGCATTATTATTGTTATTGCTATTACACTGATATGGAACTGTGGGGTGGAGAGATGCTCCAAGGACCCCTGGTTTATTGGATATATTCGTATATCTCACCCCGTGTTGTGGGGACCCCCTTTCAGGTAAGGATGCTGTAGGAGCCACTAGTGGCAAGTGGCCATACTTGGACTAGTAGTGATGCATGAGGATCCTGCATTTTGATATTATACATGTTGTTTTGTAGCTCACATGTATAGGATTGTAATTAATAGACAATTGATAGATATATGTTCTGTTTATTGGAATGGACTTAGCATATGCTCATGCCTTTGGTTATCTCTTTGTTGATGGGAGCCAAGGGAGTGATCATAGTGTTTTGTAAGCTAAGTTCCATGAATTGTAATGAACATGATTTGTAATTGATGATTACTTTAAGTTCAATATATGTATGCTCATTAAGTATTGGATTGTTGAACTGGAAACTAAAGTAGGTACCTAGTGCTAAATTGGGAAATGTTGAGAAAACAAAGATATCCTGTCCGGTTGACCAATTTTCATACCCAATGTGATGGAATTGGACTTTGATGTCTCTGTGGAAGTTGTAGAAATTTCTCTTAGCTTTCCATAGAGACAAAAATGGTGTAATTTGAGTGAGTATAGCTCAAGTTATGAGTGGAAAACCATAGGTAGGTTAAATGACCTTGTTTTGGGTCACCCAGCCCTGTGGATGGCGCCTGGGGCGCCAGACTCACGCTTGGGGCGTCAAATTACACAACCAGACAGTAGCATCCACGCTGGGGGTGCCAACTTCCTGTTTTCCCCACGCTCTGGGCGTGGATCCCACGCTACGGGCGCGGGGTCCTGGAGATTTTGCACCCATTTTCTTAGAAAATGCATAACTTTGGCTACGGTGCTCCGATTTGAGCGCGGTTTGAACCCACGCGTAGCTAATGAAAAATCCTATAACATAGTAGAAGATGGGAATCATAAAAGAAGTGTAGAATTAAATGGATAATTAAAGAGATGAAGACCTTCAACGACGTATTGTCTAATATACAGGGAATATAATATTAAGTTTAGTCCCGTTATTCCGCAAAGCAAATATGGTTATGATCACACACTTGGTTATTTTAAATTCGGCACGTTTTAAAAAGAAAAATCTTATCCGAAATTTAATTGAACTATGTGATTGTAACTGCGCTTAATGCCGTACACAATGATAACAATCCGGTTCTAGAACGGGGTGTTACATGATTATTCTGTGTTTGGGCTTTGAGATTGGTTGGACTCTTGGCATTGGGTAGTTAGCTTGCAAGGTAAGCTTTCGTGTCATCGGTTTAGCCATTGTATGGTTTGACCATACCCCATGGGGGAATGGTTTATATGCATGCTGTGTTTACATGCTTTTATACTTGAAATGCTTTTGAGCTGATATGTGTAATGACTTTTAATATGTATGTGTTGTTCCACTTTGACGGTAAGTCTGAGTAGGTGGCGTCATACAAGATGGTGAGACTGTGGGTGGGTGCAAGTGGCGTCTTGCACTAGTGTGGGTAATAGACGTATTCCTGCATTCTCTGGCCAGTAGATTAGTATTGACACACATGACATGATTATCTGCTGCATTGCACTATTTTGGAACTTATACTGTTGAAATATTTTAGAACTTATATTGCACATGTAAGTGAGCTTGGGGTGGAAGATCCTTGAGGATCCCTTGCCTTACTGAGATTTATGTTTAGAGATCTCACCCCACGTTTGGGGCGCTTATTTCAGGTTCAGGTAACCCAGGGGTCGAGACCTCTAGCGGTAGGATGCCGGAGCTTAGTTGATTATCATGTTTGCTATTTATGCTGATGCACCTGTTTGGTTTTATGCTTTTACCCATTACCATGCTGTTTGCATTGAGACTTGATGAGTATGCTGTTTATTTAGTGAGCATGGGGATTGTCCATGCCACATTGATTTGACGATGTTTTAGTTTGTTTGCGTTGTATAAACTATCAGGGTTATCCGGTCTACGTGTTGTAGTTCCGTGACTAGAGACATATTGATGTTAATTTTATATTGATCTATTTCAGTTAGCTGTCTTTTGCATCTTACATACAGGCAATGTTTTGAAATGAATTCAACTTGGTAAGGATAATGACGTCATAATTGAAAAGAAAAGATATTCCGCAATTTTAATTAAGCATGACTTAATACGATGACATGTTAACAAACCGGGTATACACGGAGTGTTACAACAACCACCATCATCGTAACCACTGCCATCACCACCACCACCATCGCCACCATTACCACCGCCGCGGCCACCACGACTATGCAACCACCATCAACACTATTACCACCATCACTGCCGCAGCCATTGCCATTGCCATCACCACCTCCATGCCACCTCCGCCTATCATCGCCACCACCACCATATAAAGAGGAAAGTGATGATCCAAATTTTTTTATGTTAATAGGAATTCTTTTTTATTATATTGTTTGTTGTGTTATTAAACGCAATTCTCATTCTTGGAATAAAAATATAATATGTTATCAAACACATTTTTTTTCTTAGAAACTGTTCCAAGACACATAAATAGAAAAGAATTATTTCTTTTCAAAAATAGTGCCACGAACAGAAATGATTATCATTCACACCCTTAATAAGTTAATATCCCCACGACTTAAATGGGAAAGGGGCTCTTACAAGTTATAAATATGAGACTAAAATACTGAGTCTGCCTCTTCAGTCAATCCACGCGTTTAGGAAACTCATTTTCAATGTGTATTATACAAAGAAAATATGGCATGTTTGTTTAATTATTTTCTTTGAATTTAACAAAAGATATTTTTTTAAAATTTAGATAATCTTTTTTCTTTTTAAGAATTTTAAACATTAAAATAAAAATGAAGAGTAACTTGAAAAGCCCTCTAACAAAATGTCATAAAAGCATGTTTTTTAGAGCTTAATCAAACATTTCTATAAACCTACTTAGATTTTCTATTTTTTAAGCTAGAAGCTACTTATAAGTTAAAGTTAAAAAAAAGGAGCTTAATTTTTTTTAAAAAAACTATTAATGATTGCTCAAAATTTTTAGTTTAAAAGCACATATTTCAAGAACTTTTAGCTTTTAACTTTTTTCTTTATTATAAAAAAAGATCTTTTCATTATAAAAGCTTTTCTTAAAACTTGTTTAACTAACTTCTACTTATAAATAGCTTTTAACTTAAAAAAAATAAATCCAAACAATCACTAAATTTAACAGATAAAAGCATACTATAGTTAATATAAGTATTCAACGGAAAATGACAGAGGTAGATTATACTATAGTGTATACAATATTTTTTCCTTATAATTTTTTGCAGTTATCGTTTTATTCAATGTTATTAAAACCGGTTCGGTCATTGACCCGGTCGAGGTACTGGGATACTGGGTCACTGGTTCAATCAGTGGGTCACTGGTTCAACCGCATGACCCGATAATTATATGCAATTTTATAATTTATATTAAAAAATTATAAACATATTCAAATATCTAAGCAAAAATGACAAAAAATTCAAATATTTTAATATAAAAAAATGACAAATCACATATTATTGTACAATAAAGGATCAAACAAAAATATAATGATCATGATACGGGGCTTTAGGTTCAGAAAATGATATCTCTAACTATAAATCAAATGAAATTTTTTTGCATAGTGCATAATTGAGATAACATTAGTGTTGTAGGTACATAAACTATGTAAGTCAATAAGCAAAAAATATATTTAAATATGTATTTTTTTTGAAAAAAAAATTTGGAATTTTTTTTTGGACCGGACCGGGTTACCGGTTAACCGACCGGGTCACCGGTTTTCATGAAAATCGGCCGGGTCGGATCGGTTCTGATGCATGGCCGGTCCGTTGCTTGAACCAGACCGGTTATATGACCAGTTTACCGGTTCACGGGTCGACCCGACCGGTCGGTTCAGATTTAATAACACTGGTTTTATTACAATCGCTATAATTTGTTGTCATTTTATAACCATTAATTTAATTTCTCCAATTTTTTTTATAAATATAATCTTTCTATAAAAAAAATATGCAAGCATAGTTTTTACGAAGAAATCGTAATTTTATTTTTGAATATATTGAGAAATTAAATATACAACTTATTACGTAACTAGTCACTTTCCTTACTATTAGCCTGGCTTAAGAAACTACAATTTTGTCGGAACCCGAGTAGTAATGGGTCACGAATAAGAAAGCGAAGCCCATGGTAGGCTGAGTGTTGGGCCCTGGCCCATGGTGATTAAACCCTAGTCGTCGTCAAGGAGCCATATATAATAGAAAGAGGGAGAGCTTGAGGGTTTGTGTTTTGGGATCGAGTAGCAACAATGTCGAAGAGAGGTATGGTTTTGATTTTCGGATTGCGCAGATTAGTCGAAGGTTAATTATTGTGTTAATTAGTTACGGTTTGATTATCAGGTCGCGGTGGATCGGCGGGGAACAAGTTCAGGATGTCACTGGGTCTGCCGGTGGCGGCGACGGTGAACTGCGCCGATAACACGGGGGCGAAGAACCTCTACATCATATCGGTGAAGGGGATCAAAGGTCGGCTGAACCGTTTGCCGTCGGCTTGCGTGGGTGACATGGTGATGGCCACCGTCAAGAAGGGAAAACCCGATCTCCGTAAGAAGGTCTTACCCGCCGTCATCGTCCGTCAGCGCAAGCCTTTTCGCCGAAAGGACGGCGTTTACATGTACTTCGAAGGTATTTCTTTCGTTTCACTAAACCCCTAGTGTTTCTACATGGTGGTAGCGAACAACTCTTGACTTGGTAGTTTTTGTTTTTTTTTGTAGATAATGCTGGTGTCATTGTGAATCCCAAGGGTGAAATGAAAGGTAAAATTTCTTCTGTACCGTTTGATCTCCTATATGTTTCTAGCTGGTTCTGGTTTTAATTTGGTGTTGCTTTGTTATTGTAGGTTCTGCTATTACTGGTCCAATTGGGAAGGAGTGTGCTGATTTGTGGCCTAGGATTGCAAGTGCAGCCAATGCTATTGTTTAAGTTGGTTTTTTAGTATTATATTATAATGTTTTGCTTTTTAAAGTGGGTGGTTTTTGATATTGTTTTTGGTTGAACAATAGTCAAATCGACAGTGTTCTTATTTTTCTTTATCTTCTCAGTGAGAAGTGTTTTGAAGAGATTATTGATTTGGTAGTTATAAGAGTTGTTCCTTTCTTTGCGTAATTTGTGTTACTAGTCTTTTTGAGTTATTGTGAGTACATGGTTTTATTGATGTTTTTGCTTAAGGATGTACGGCGGGTTCATTTTGGTATTTACTCTTCACCATATTGAATTTGCCTTGCCTTGGCTTGCGATGTTCTTAGCCTAAATTTCATATGATCTGAACTTACTGAATCCTTATTATTGGTGTTATTTTGTTACCAGAGAACTTCAAATTGCCGTTGTTAGTCATTTCATAATCTGCTTCGTCTTACATAAGAAAGTTGATATGCTCTAGAATAGTAGATGGGTTGTGTTTTCAGTGGGGAAATAGGTTTGGTATTTGGAAAACTTAGAATGATATGAACTTATTCGCGGAAGAGTTTCTTGGTCTTTCTATTGTAATTTCTCGGGCTTATGCTGTCAAATTATGTTGTTGAAGGTGATTTCGAGGAAGTGGAAAACAAGGAGGGGAGTGAGAGTTAGCGCAGGATATAGAAATCACTAATGAGCCTTTACGAACAGTTTGGTTGTTTAAATTCTATTCTTTTAAACAAATTGGATTTTAGGACGAAGTAATATTGTTCTTGGGACACTTGAGTCCTACTCTGAATTGTTCAGACTTTTAAGTCCTACTCTTGTGTGAGAGATCTATTGGATATAAAATTTGGGGGAGTTAGAAGGGTTTATCATTTCTCTATGGTAAAGGTTGAAAAATTGTCTCAACTGTTTCAAAAGGAGCCAAATTCTTTTGAAGGTTAACGTATTTGCTTTTTTGGTTTTTTAATGACCAGAAGAAACAATATGCCCCGTTTTGTCAGAAGAAGAATAGAAAAGCTTTTGCCTCAGTTGTACTATTTTCAGATTAGATCCGAGTTTCATTTAACTTCATGTAACTTTTTTCTCGTAATACTATGTCAGTTCTGGTTCACTGTTCTCCTTCTTGTATTAGAATTGTGGTATTATTTGTGAAGCTGGGAAGAGTGTTAGCATTAGTAGGAGAAGATAACTTGAAAGTACGTGTAGAGGCATATAAATGCGAGTACTTAGGTACGTTGTTTGACTACTTGGACTTGTCGTCTTTTACTTCAGAAAGCATATAGGCAAAGCTGAAAGCATGAAATCTTAGGATATGGCCACTGCTTGATTTACCAACAAATTTGGAGCCGTGTTCGTCAGTGTGCTATGGCTAGCTGTCAATCTAACTCAACAGTATTTCTAACAAAATTAGTCATTCATTTATATTTTAGTTATTAAAGAGGGTGAGTATGGAGGGATGGTAAATCTATTCTTTCTGTTCAACCTGAAGGTAACAACTAAAAGTTCTTCATCACTTATATAGTGCCTTCCTGATATTAAGTACTTGAGTACGATGATGGAAGGAAAATTTTGAAAAGCAATAATATCTATGGGCAGGATTAGTTTTTCCTAAGAAGTTTTATACCCGTTCATTCTCGTTTATTATAAATACATTTAAGATTGAGAGTAAAATTTATTTCTATGTAAAATAATTCTTATATATATATATATATATATATAACTCTCATTTTGTCCTCACTTTGAAAATCTCATCTTTTTTTTTTATCTTTTAATGATGGGTCTCATCTAGTTTCTTTTTGTAACATAAGAGAACTACTCATGTAAAATGAGAATAGAATTCTCATATATATATATATATATATTGGGGCAAGATCATCTTACACCGGTGTAAGAATAATAAATCTTACATCAAATCTTAATCATTGATTTTCTACATCTAACGGTTAAGATTTATTAGGTCTCCCTCATTAATTAATTTTTAATTCCCAATAAATCTCAACCATTGGATGCACGGAAATCAACAGTTAAGATTTGGTGTAAGATTTATTATTCTTACACCGGTGTAAGTTGATCCTATCCCATATATATATTTATATATATATTGGCTTTATACAGCATGTTTTTTTTTTTATTGTTTGTTCTTTTTCTTCATATTTTGGGAAAAATAAAGACAAAGAAAGCAAAACTAAACAAGTCTGGGCAGAAGGTGCCATTACATCATTTGGAATTAAGGTTTGGCAATCCAGTGGGTGTTCCAGTAGATCATGGTTTCCCTGCTGCCAGTCACGGGACTCACGACTTTGCTAGCTAGCAAATCATGCGCTTGATTCACTTCTCTAAAAAGTGGGAAATATGGACCGGCCAATTCTTGCTTAGCAAATTTCTAATGTATTTTCACACCTTTAGTGGATGATGTGGTTAAATAGCAGGAGATTGATGATAACTCATGTGATGTGAAATTACATCATCATACTTGCTACAATTACTATTTTTAGTTTTAATTAACTTTCTCATTTAAATTTTTATTATTTTTATTATTTTCATTTAGTCTAAATAATTAAAACGATCATAATTTTCGTGAGATTAATATTAGACTTATTACCTTATTATATTTATTCACGACTTGTGCACAATATCCAAAAATATGAAGTAACCTTTTTCATACATTTCCATTCAAATTAAAAAGGGGTTTAATTCTAAATGAAGTAGGATTCAATCTGTGTGTAAATATGGAAGCAGGATTGTATCTTCTTTTGTTTTGTGAAAATATGCAAATTTTTCTTTTACCTTTTGATGTGTGTAAGCATGAAATGATCGATCTGTCCTGCAAATCTAATTTCGAATTCATTTGGGACTTAGTTTACTTTTTGGTACAAAAAAAGTTTGGGAAGGGGAGGTTGCTCATTCTAAGGTCAGGACAGTTTTCAGTCCACACTCCATGTTGGGACCATTTTTATTCTGTGGAAAAGTAGCAAACTACAAGTTTAATCACTTGATGTACTATTCATGATAATGTTTTTCATCTACAACAAATAAAAAACTGACATCCTATATTTGATGCCTGCTTATGTGATGGACACTTGAAAACTCTCCTTACATGCTTTCTTCCAGTCCTATTCCCCATGATGCATTTCTTATAGCAATGCATGCTGTCAGTTGACATAAAGTGTCAAGCAAGCACTGCAAAATGATAAAAGTCACAGTTTTATATCTCTCAAAGAACTCAGTTCTTGAAGCTTCAGGGCAAAATGAGAGTCAGCCCTTCAATGACACTTGGTAATGTCCAAAGAAGGGAACTACTTGGCTGTGGCCCTGCATCAAGCATTCTCAGGCAGCTAGTTTGTAAGTTGAAGAGTAGTTGGAAGCAAGCTATGGGGTAGTAAAGCTATGATTTTCATTATTATTGTCTTAACTTCAGTGATGTTCTTTTCTTTTTAACCTTCTCTTTTCTGAATTATGAACAAGTTTTGGTAAGAAATTTGGGATGCCTCTCCCCAAAAGCTAACTCGAAGGATGAGAGTGCACAAGGCCTTCAATTAATATGGGACTCCAAGTCCCATACCTTGCAAATAGGTCGTAACAATTTCCTATAATTTGTTGTCATTATGTAGTCATATGATAAAACACTTTGCAAATTGCATACTTGTAAACAGAATTCAGCTATTTGTCATATGACATATGTCATATGATTTTTAACCTTATTCAGTTTCTGGCATTGTGATTAAATAACTATTTTCAGTGGCTTACGAAAATTTATATCGTTTTCTTCTTTTTGGGATGTGTCCTGACTCCTAAATTCATTTTGCAGTGGCATGTATCTTGGATGAGCTGTCCTCTTATCCTCTTTCATATGCTTCCTTTTTTTGTTGCATTTCGTTTTTCATTCTTTCAATATCTTCTTTTTAGGCAATCATGTTGAAAAAAGAAAGGATTATCCAATATCATTACCTCATTCCTTTGTCAACAAAATAAAAATAAAGGTAAAAAAGTTGGCAAAATGGCTCACATAGCTAGATTATATATTATTTAGCTTTGTTTCTTTTTTGGGGTCCCCACTGTCAATACTATCAGTCCTTCTGTCAAGCAACTTGATTAGCAATTAATCAATTGTTAAAATCCATGTATGTGTCTTGGAATCCAAAGGTTAAAGCATTAACCATGGATATTTGATGACTAATATCACCTAAACATCTTTTCAAACAGAATCTGGATTCGTAAATTGTCCATGGCAATAATATATTCAGAAACTAAAAGAGTTAAGAATTAATATGTTAAAATATGTATGTATAAGCATCAAACAAATAAGGAGCCCGTGATCTATGGCACTGATGATGGACCTAAGTTAGGAGTGAACATTAGCCGAAAGAAGTTTTTCAACCTACCAACAACAATTGGAAACTTTCTTAATCAATACTAAACTTATTTATTCTTATAAATAAAAAAAGTGCAATAACAATGTCAAGGTTAAATGTTACAACTTACATGCCTAATTAAGGAATTACAATGTATAGGTTTTCTGCTAATGAAAAACAACTATTAAAAGTTTACTAACAGAAATCGAATGTAAGAGTTTTTTTTTTGTCCTTGGATAAAATTAGAACCATACAGAAAAATAGAGCACATCTAACATACAAGAAATATTGACTTCATCTTCAAACAAGAGCCTTTAAATTGAATCCTCTATACTATCACAGCCAAGAAAGTGGAAATAAGTAATAAGAGTCACATGCATGCCATTTAATGGAGTTAATGCTTCGTAATTATAGCTCATTGCAACTAACTAATAATACGTATTCACAAATGGGGGACAATCTCTGAGCTGTCAACAATATCCTTTTGCTAAACTACATAGTACTTATGAACCCAAACGTTGAATTACAAAGCCATCCAATATAATATATTAAGCATAATGTTATCCACATTTTTTGTGCTTATTTTATACATTTTGTGTAGTATATTACATTTGGCTCTAAATTTATATGCATAAAACACTTTAGTGAACACATTTTCTGATGTTAATCACGTATCCTTAAAAAAAGGTGAGTATTTAGACTTTCTCATTATATTATACCAGAATCATGGATATTTTCTTACATTTTTGTGTGTGTGTGTAAATTTTACACCATTTTAATTTTTGATCGAATATCTACTAAAAAAATCCAGTGTGTATTAATTAGTGGGACAAGAATATCACCTAGATATATTGTAAAGTAGAGGAATAATTTTCCATATAGCACCATGTGATTTTCAATAGGAAGGTCATCACATTATGTCCCACACTGCATTTCACGCCTATATCTTTTTCTTCACCAAGTCTCCATTTTCATAGAGTTCTTGCATCTGTTTCCCTCTCTGTCACCTCTCTTTTCTGCAAATGGCCAAGTTTCTGGCATTCTCACTAATCATTTTAAACCTTTTCACTGACTTTGTGAGTGGGGAATGGAACATATTGAACCAAAGATGGGGAAAAGGAGTAGTTGGAGCCAACTTGAGGAACTATTGTGAGAGTTGGAGGATCAATGTTGAACTAAACAACATTAGGGGGTTCAGTGTTGTGCCTCAAGAATGTGGGGAGCATGTGAAGAAATACATGACTTCATCTCAGTACAAGGCTGATTCTGAGAGAGCAGTGGAGGAGGTAAGACTCTATTTGAGTGGATGCTGCACTTTGAAAGGTGATGGCAAAGATTCCTGGATTTTTGATATTGACGAGACCCTTTTGTCCACAATTCCTTATTTTAAGAAGCATAGTTTTGGGTAAGTGCCTTATGGTAAGGTTTTTATTTTATTATTATAGTGCACATCTAATTAGTCTTTGGTGTTACTCTATAATCTATAGTTGTGGAAGCAGTTGGGACATCAACTAATTTATTGTACCGATGATGACTATGCCTATGTGTCCACAATAATGCACTCAAGATATCGAATTCATCTCTGAAAAAACATATTTTGTTGTTTACTAGTTGGAAAGATATTTAGCCTATTTCTATCTGTTCAGGTCTGTTACTTATGATGTCAAGTACGTCAAGTTGCTGCAACTAGGATCCAAGTGGTGCAAAACTGGTTCTTCTCATCAATGGTTAAGATCTAAGAATCATTGTTTTTAGGGATCAATGTTTCTTATGTCGTAGGAGATAATTTTATCTCCTACACATACATAACATTATGCGGGACTTGTTGGGTTAAATTTTAATGAGATAAAAATAGAAAATAGAAAATAGAAATGTGAAGAGTTTTCTGGTGAAGAGTCATGTCTTTAGGTTTGTGTTAGTGGACATTAATGAGTTTAAAGTTTCTAAGAAGTAGTCATTATGTGTTGTGTCATTTAGTTATTGTTATATATAGTGTCATGTATCTGTAATGTGAAAAGGCAAGAAAAAGAATATTGTGGCAAAAGTAATAGAAAGAGTAGTTCCTTCAAACATAGAAGAGTGTTGCATTTGAATACCGAAGAAATTATAGGACCTGTGAATTACAAGACTTATGTTTTCCTTTTTTCTTTATTTTCTTCACATAGAGCAATATGGGTTCCATACACTTTTATGTGTTTGTAGGAGATAAAATAGCAAGAGAAATATTAATCTCTTATTTTAGTCCTAATATATTGTAATTATATGCATCATTTATGATTGTGTCTACTCCAAAGTACCACCATCAAACAACAAGAAAATATGTTAAAAGACTATTGAATTTATTTTATGGAGTTTGATTTTCTCATGTTGCACGAGAATTGAATTCTTATGTTGTGACTCAACTAATAGTGGGCTCCACATTTATTAAAAAGAGAAAAAGAAAAGAAAAGTTTTGCATGAAAATCGAAGGATCACAAAATGAGAATTGAATTCTTATACAACATAAGAAAATGTTTGCGCTTATTTTATTTATTGTTTTGAGCTCTGTATTGAATCTTGTTAGTATTAGGATATAATTTTGAAATACATGAGTGTTAAATTTATAGTCTTATTAATATTAAAATACACTATTGGGATACAAACACTAGGGGAGAAAAGCTGAATGCAACCTCTTTAGAAGCATGGATGAAGCAAAGCAAGGCACCGGCTCTAGATCACACACTGGAGCTTTACCATGAAATCAAGAACAGAGGGTTCAATATTTTTCTAATTTCTTCAAGAAAGGAGACTCTTAGATCTCCCACTGTAGACAACCTTGTGAAGGTTGGATACCATGGATGGACTGGTCTTACATTGAGGTAATTAATTTATGGTAAAGTTTTTTAATTTTTTTTATATTTTATATCCATTGGTTCATTGATTACTCGACTAATCCAGTTCAAACACTATTGGACCCATTATAAAAGACAACTCTCCAAAGACTATTTTCTCTATTCTCAAAGACTCATGTGACATCAATGAATATGTTCACCCAATAATTAGTTATTTAATTAGTCGTCATCCCACACTTATAAATCACCTTTATTATATGATAGCAAGTGTTTTTGTATTAAAGGAACACTCTATGAACTATGTTGGCAGGGGTCTTGACGATGAACAGTTAGAAGTGAGAAAATACCATTCCAAGATGAGGCAACAATTGGTTGATGATGGTTACCGCATATGGGGCATTATTGGAGATCAATGGAGCAGTTTTGAGGGGCTTCCAATTGCAAAGAGAACATTCAAACTACCGAATTCCATGTACTACATAGCATAAATTTCTTATTGTTTACTTATTTTCTATGAACATAATTTATTAGCATGAGCATAAGCTATTGTCTCTTTTTTGATGGGGGTGCTAACCCTTCATCTATGTCAAAGGTTGATGAATTTGGAACTTTTGTTATTTTATTATATTATATATTATTAACGAGCTTTTATGTTGGTGAAAGGAAAAGGTTATTTTAAAAGTATCTTGACCAAATAGATTGCTTTATTTCTTTGCTACCACAAAGAAACATAACACATCTATTTTCTTCTTTTTTTCTAATCAGAATTGATGCGCTGTAAAATATAGGTTAGTGTTTAAGAAAGCAGCTTTCAAGAATCACATGGTTGCTGGCATGTTTTTCAACAAAGTATTTAATATTGTAAAATAATAACAAGAAGTTTCATTGGATTGTAAAAACATCAACAGTACTCTACTAAAATGTGGAAATTCTTTCCATTTTCATCAGATTAATATTAATTAATGAAAGAGATAGGTTATTTTACCTATCTTTTTTTTGTCTACTACTCTCCAATACCGTTAAATCACAATCTCAAGAAGAGAGAGAAAGATAAATGTTAGTTAAGATTTTGATCTAACGGTGTGGATGGTGGTAGATAAAGGTAGACAAAAAAAAAATGATAAGTAGAATAACCTATCATTAATGAAAAGCGATAGAGAAGTATTTGGTAACGGGAAATTGATGAGAGATGAGAAGATATACATAAATAGTTAGAGATTTGCATTTATCATTTAACATGACAAGAAAAAGTTTTCTACACACAACATTTTGTAGGGGTTGCATCTTTTTAGAGCAAAAAATAAAAAAATTACGGCACGCAAAACAAATCTCTATAAACCATCACTTTTCTTACAACATAATTTTTATAAAGCCCAAATAGTTAATGTACCAAAAAAAAAATAGTTAAAGATAAAGATGCTTGCATCTTCTAAATAAGTTTCATGTGATCGAAATAATCCCAAATTATTCACAAAAAACAAAAAAACAAAAAATCCCAAATTGATAAAATACTTATTTTAAAACTATTTTGATAAATCAAAAGAGATTGGTTCAAATTATACATATTTAATTCTTTTTAAATAAGGTCTTACATTTAATCCTTGAAAATGCAATTTTTTTGGCTAATGCACAAAGTAGTCACACTCTCTGTCTCTCTCATCGTACAAACTCCAAACATAATTAACAAGGAAACAAAAAACATAATGGAAGGTGGGACACGGTCTTAATAATGATGACATAGAACTCAATGCCAGTTTTTCATCCTTTACTGCCATAATAATTGTTTTAATAGCATGCAAATGTAGTTATATATATTTTCAACTATTGATATATATATTTTTTGGGTTATATTTATCTCATTCAACATGAGATAATCCATTTTCATATACACATATAACAAAGGTGAATTCCATCTCTATTCTTTTTTTTTCTTCAATTATTTGTGAGTCCCTTTTATAATTTTATTTCACTATTATAAGATAACTCATCTCCAACAACATAAGAAATTTTTCTTCCATATTTTTTATGTTAGTTATTCGTTGGTCCGATTCGAGTCGTTATTTATTGACACTTCATCATTCTTCAACGTACTGAAAAGGAAAAAAACTAATAAGCACATTATCTTCTGCTGCTATAAAATCATTCTAATTTAATTAATGGTTTTGAGTTTTAATTATGCAGTTATGTTAGAATTTTAGTAAGTAGAGTTTTATCATACTTCTCCTGTCTGCAAAATTACATAAAATTAGGCTTCTAAAAAATTAGAAGCAAGCTCAGACTTCCATTTTCATGAATTTTATGTGATAGATAATTAAATATAGAGCATATAAGAGCAAACCAATTTCAAAAATCATTTTTTCTTTTTGGTTTCCCTGAAAAGCAAAGTAGTTTTGTGTTGTTTCTAAAGCCTATTTATATTTGGCTTTTGAAAAGGCGATATATTATTCTATTTTTTTATGTTTATTTTATCTATTACTTTTTGATATCATTAAATTAGAATCTCAACTCACCTTTATTATTTATCTCTTCTCTTAAACTTCTAATATAATAATATTAAAAAATGATAAATATGAAAAAAGATAGATAAAATAATCTATCATTTTTTATTTTTTGGAAAATAATATTGAAAATTAGATAAATGAAAGAACATTTTCCTAATCATATGGCGCAAACCAAACCTCACGTGCACACCGTTAGATATTTTGTGTGGTAACACCAAATCACAAGACTTCCAAGTCCTTACGTTAGCAACATTATTTTTTAGACGAGGGAACGGCGGAACACTCGTCAAAATGTTAACCAATTTTTTACATAAATGTCACGTAAATAATGTTATTTCTTAATATGTTACGGGAGCAAGTTCGTTACTTGTGTAGCGAACTCAGTTTGCTGACGTGTCACACTTTTAATGGATAACAAATATCAAATTTTAGAAAAAAAAATAAAATGAAGGTCGCCTACCATGTAGGCGAACTTGGTTAAAATCAAGTTGGTGTCCACTAGAAACGTGACACGTCAGCAAACCGAGTTTGCTACATCGGGTAGCAAACTTGTCCCCGTATCAGATTGAGAAATAACACTGTTCGCGTGGCATTTAGGTAAAAAAGTTAGTGAACAGGAACATTTTGGTCACTGTTCGGGAATGGCACTGTAGCTCCGAGAAAAACTTTGATAGACAGAAAGCATGTCTCGGTAATTTTTTTTTGGAAATATTATGTAACATAAAATAAACAAAATTGTACTGCTTATAAAAACATAGACACAAAATTTCATAAATATGCATCATAAGATAATTGTAACATAAAACAACTGTTTTCCCTTTTTTCGAGGGAATTTTTTTTATATTTCTTTTTAATTTTTTTTTTTAATAGAAAGAAACACCAAACTCGAGACTATCAGTGTTTCTCCGTAGCCCCAATCCATTTAGCGTCCACGTAACATAGAGTGAACTTCACGCGCTATATTTGCGCGTAGTATAGGCAGTGACTATTCTTCCCCAAAAGGGGCAAAGGCAAAGGCGCATTCGTTCGTCACCGTTCATTTTCCACTCATCCAACCTCGCATTTGGCTTTGCCTTTGCCGGTGACGGAATTTTAAAATCACCGAGCTGTGTCTCAATCGAATTCCTGGTTTCAGATTCCCTGAACTTCCCCCTTTTGGGTAAGAATTTGAATCAACCGATTTTTTTTATTTTTTTTGAATTTTCATTCATGCTCTCTCTTATCTGTTATTTGCGAATATACCCTTTGCTTCAATTTCCCTTTTTTCGTTGTTTGTTTGGTCCAATTCGCTTTTGGGTCACTCCTCTTCCCTCCTTTTTTCGTTGATGCTTCCTTTGTTATCGTTGGTAGGAAGTTTGTTGCTAATTCACAAAAAAAAATAATTTTTTTTCGCTGTTTGATGTAAATTCAATAAATAATTTATGGGTTTGCATGCATGTGAAGGTTTGATCGTGGAGTATGAATTGCTTTCTAATGGGTTTTTATTTTTTATTTTAATTTTCTGAAAGATTGTGTTGTGTATGTTGTTGGGAATCGGAGCCTGGTAGTGGCGGCTGAATAATTATTGCATTTTGAGGTGCTTTAATTGTATGAAAACAATAGGGCAGAAACTGAAAATGGGCATGAGTACTGAAAGCACTTATGTTGTTACTCATTGTATCTCTGTTATGAATAATATCTGTATGATTTGTTTGTAAACTAAACCTGTATTGAGAAATATCAATGGTGAAATTGATTGTGAACCATGATATTCTTATATGTTCCCTTTGATGGGATGTGTAATTGTCAGACTTTGATTCATATTGCATGATGAGAGTGATGAAGTTTTTTTCTAATGTGAAGAGAAAGTCTTTTTTTTTAAGGATCATCAAGGATTCATTTTTTTCTTTGTAGTTGATTACTGTAATATTCCACATATGTCTGGTTTTTATTGTGTCATGTATCAAAGTGTTGCAGCTTACGGTGTCAAATATAAGTGTGTGTACCAATCCATACTCTGCAGTCTGTAGTTTAAACAGTTTAATCTCCCAGTAAAATGTATATTAAAAGTTTACCAATCCATGGGTGCTGCAATGTGTCCTGCCAGACACAGTAACTACAATTTTCTTTTCTTAGATGTACATATGGATGGTTTTGGAAGAAAATTCATTTGTGAATCTAATTGGAAGTGTGTCTTTATGCATACCTCTCCATGGCTCATTGGTTTTATATTTTTCAAGATAGAATTGTGGTTATCTGATTGCATATACTGTTTTATTGTATAACTCATCAGCTCAATGTAACTTTTTTTTTTTTTTTGAATGGTGCACGCTTAAACTGCATAACTGTAAACATTGTGATATTTTTGTATCTCTGATTATGCTTACTACTTGATGAGAGATGAAGGGGTCATAACATATATCTCTGGACCGAAACTGTGACGAAAGCTATGAAGGTTTTTATGACGTTAATATGTTCCTTCTATAAGTTATACTTGAGATCAAGCTTGGCCGTTCTCTTTATTTTAGTCTTACTTTCATGGTGGGGTTTTATAATCTTCGGAAGCAATATTCTCACAAGCAAATTGCTTTCTGTTGGTTAACTTTTGATGCTAAAGACCAAAGAATATTTTCTCTTTCATAGGTGTGAAGATTGATGTTGATGTTGATGTGTGAAGATTGATGACAACTTGTCTGGTTTGGGAATCTAGAACAAAAAGCAACCTGTGTAGTATTCTGCTGGTGAGCATTGCCATCTGAGGGAAAATGTAAAGTCTAAGCTTTTATTAGTTGACTGGATAACTGATACTTTTATTTTTTTTCAATTAATTATTTAGGAAAATAATGGAAGCACGCTCTGCTTTCTCCATTGAAAGATCAAGTGCAAAGCAAATCAGTAACATGGGGATGTCTGGAGCACTTACTTCATCGATGCCTGTCCTTCCAACGCCTCTAGAAGAGAAATACCCCATATTATCTGATTCACAGCCGGCTTTTGTGGAAAAAGAGCTTAAAATAAGACCTTTTACTCATTCAAGTCATTTAAGTTCCAGCGGAGCAGTTGGGCATTTGTTTTCATCCTCCCCTGGATATTCAAATGATCTTCATCACTCATCCCTTTCACCTCATGAAAAACACTCTAGAAATGCTAATTTTGTTTCACAGTCAATGAGTAACATGGCTTTATTGTCATCATCTTATTCTTCAAGTAATGGACCGATGCCTTCTACAACATCAACCCATTATTCCAAAGGAAACAATGCTTCCTGGCATGCAGATTCCCTGCCTAGCTTTCTTGATTTCCCTGCGAATACCTCCATTGATAGTAGTCAAGTAGAGAGCAGTTCCTGCAATATTATGGCATCTGAGGAGTATTCTAAGCGAAATGATTGGCAGGAGTGGGCTGACCAGCTAATTAGTGATGATGAAAATTTGACTTCTAGTTGGAATGATCTTCTTGCTGACAACATTCAAGATCTTGAACCAAAGGTTAATTTTTTCATTACTAAAATCAATATTAGCTTGCAGAGTAAACTAATTAGTAATTTATTGAAGGAACATTTTGGGAACTTATTTTGTTGTTTTGGTGTTGTACCAGGTTTCAAAATCATCTTCACAATTTTCAGCAGGACATCAATCCCAAAGCCATCAACAACTTCCTGCTTCATCTGGAGAAAATCGTCTTGTTGTTGCCCCATCTTCCTCAGCAAATTCTGCACCTGCCAAGCCGCGGATGCGTTGGACACCTGAGCTACATGAGGCATTTGTGGAGGCTGTCAGCCAACTTGGCGGGAGTGAAAGTATGTTCATCTCTCTTTGTAAAATAAGGCCTTAGTTTGTTAAACTTCTGCCTCATTATCTTTTCCTGTTTTCTTTTTAAAGGAGCTACTCCAAAGGGTGTGCTGAAGCTTATGAAAGTAGAAGGATTAACTATATATCATGTTAAAAGCCACTTACAGGTATGTGCACTTTTTTATCTTCCTAGGTTTGTTTCCTTGCATGCTTTTGATGAAACATATTGCTCCATGAAATGCAGAAATACAGGACAGCTAGATATAGACCAGAAACATCTGAAGGTACATTTGATATGCATTGTATTATATATATACGTTATGTATAAAGCTCTGCATGTTGGTTAGGATGAGGATCTCATTGGCTATGAAATAACTTTTTTGAAGTTTGAAGTATGAACTTATTGCAAAATTCACCATAGAATTAAAAGCTTTGTCAAAGTAGATGATTCTCGTCAGATTTCATTTTAATTGGAAACTAGTTTGTTCTTTAATGTTAAATTGAAATTTGTGTAAAATATGCTTTTCAAACACAATAAATTATCACCTTACATAAGAAGTTATCGAATGGTGCAAGTGTGTAATGTCTTACATTGTTGTCAGTAGTTTTAACCTTTCGCATGTAATATTTTATCATGCAACCTACTCTCCCAAAAGTTTAAGCTATTAGGTGAAGACACATTAATAGTTTTTATATCATATCTCTAACATGTCTCCTCACTCGAGTCCTTTGGGCTTGAAGGGTGGAAAATGCACAAGCCCACTAATCTTGTGCTGAGAAATTCCGCCATATTTATTAGAAGACTATTAGAGAATGTAGGCGGTGAGGATCGAACTCTAGACTATTTGATCATAGAGACTCTAATATCATGTCATGCTACTAACTCTCCCAGAAGCTTAAACTATTAGGTGAAGGCAGATTAATAGCTTTTATATCTCTCTCAAAATTTTGATTATATGCTTTCTGCTTCTACTTTTGTTCATGTGATTGGACTTTTTTTTCCTTCCTTTTCCTCCCTTTGTGCTGCTATATGTGGAAACTGTTTAAAGATGCAAGTTCCCATGGATTATTTTCCTATAATTTGCATAAATTAGTTATAAAATTATCAAATGTAACTTGTTATAGAAGCTATGTTGCGCATGTGTGGCTGTACAGATACAACGATTGAATTCAGTCAATTAAGACAAGGGGATTTGGCAATTTAGTGAAAAATTGGCCACAGGTGCCATATATTATATGTAGATACATACAAGTATCTTGTTATGCACTAGCATGTGTATAAGTCCACTTCTTTATTATATTTTTATATTAAAACCAAAGATAATCGAAGAGTTTTGGATTTTCAGATAACTACTTAAGTATGTAGTAGCTTAAATTTATTTTAAATTTAGGTTAAGATATGTATATTTGAGAGATTATGAGACCTAACACTATGAAGTCTCTTATTGCCCTGGTGCTGCATTTGATGTCTGGAAGTAGTGTGTTATAAGTCTCTTCCTTGAAATCTAGAGCAATGCTCCTTCTCTGTTTAGTCATATAATGTACAATTTGTTGACTACTGTTGGCAGGAGCTACAGAGAAAAAACTATGTCCCATTGAAGACATATCATCTCTAGATTTGAAAACGTAAGTAAACTATCTGCTGTGATTTTAAGTAACTTCTGTTATGTAGTATTGCTGTACTTCTATGACAATTGATACATCAAATTGTTAGACAACTTTTTGTTCCCTAACCTGACATTGCTAATACAAACATTCTCCACAGATTTTAAATATTTTATATGTTGCCCCTAAGCTTTTACCGTCAATGTCTAAATCAACCTAAAGGTACAAAGAGAATATGGCTTTTGAAACTTAAGCATAAGTTTTCCATCTATTATTGATGTTAGTCATTTGTTTTGTTTGGAGGGAAGAATTACATGTCCAATTATGCTGGCTAGTAATTGTATTCTAGAGATTGACAATAACATTCACAGCACTGGCATGTTACTTTCATTGAGTTTTTGCCCTGTAAGTTTATTTCTTCTGCTGGCAGTAATTACCCATATCTTATCACTTAACCTGAGAAGAGAACAGATAAACAGAAAATTAGGGGAAGCTTCAAGGTCAGGGATCCAGGGTTAAGGCTACAAGAGGATTAATATTTAATGTCTCTATGTAAAGTTTTTGGTGATATTTCATTCACAGATATGCACAAACACAAATAATAATTGTTGTGCTGACTTTACCATTGCATTGTTGACAGTGGTATTGAGATCACTGAAGCTCTGCGATTGCAGATGGAGGTTCAGAAGCGGTTGCATGAGCAGCTTGAGGTATGCACTTTGTTCTTTCGGGAATTTCCTTCTGATATGTTTATTGAATTGTTAAAAGACTAAAAATGTGATTCAAAGGCTTGTTTGCAAGCTCCATTTCTGTTGCAATTGCCATGATTATAGAAGTTCATCAATTATATCTTATGGAATCACTGAGAATAAACCTCTTTTAGTGCTTGCTAGTATTATGAACTTCAACTGATGTTTGTGAGCTTGGTGAAAGGAATTGAAGGAGTAACTTGCCTATAAAGAAAGAAGTTAATATTGCTTGCTATTCCTCTAATTTTCTGTACTTTTAATGCCTATTTTTAAGTGCAAAATTGCTAATTAGAGTGTGTCTAAGTGGCAAAGTTGTATTTTTCAATAGATAATTATCAGTTTAATATGCATTTAAAAAATGTGAATATCTCAATAGTCATTAGATTAGTTTCACATATCATTTTAGATACTTGTGGTACCTTTTAAGTAATGAAGAATTCTTAAGAAATGAAAGAGTAGAAAACAGGAGGATCATGAATCCTCCAAAAGCTGCAAAGCAAACAGTTGCGAAGAGAAAGGGGGGGAAAAAATTAGCTCCTAAGAGCAGCCCAGCCCCTTTGCTAGTATGACTTAGAAACACCCTTAAAAAACCCATGACGGGAAATCTGCAAAGAGGCTAAGAAAACAAGCCTGTCCCATAAAAGTTGTGGAGGAAGATAAGTATTGCTAAAATTTCTGGAATTACACTCTAACCAAATATATTGGACTCCATCAAAAAGAGGACACTGCCAAAGCATTTTTTTGTCCTTTCTACTCTCCAAACCTTTATAACCTGCAAAATCAGGCGGACATATCCAATAATCTCTGAACAGCCCAAACGGCTTACACTATAGTTGCCAAGCTACCCCACAGCAAAAAGAGGTGATGTTAATTCTCTTTATGCTCTTACCCATTGAAATTTGTTTGTTTCTCTTTGCTATGGATTAGAAATTAGATACTAACCGTACACAAGGCATATTCATTTATAGGTAATGCCCATATCTTTGACTTGTTGAAGAAGAGATAGAATTTGCCCCACTAAAACTTGCACACTTTCTCTTGAACCTTGTGTTCTTTTTTTCACTTTTGATTTTAAGAGGAACAAAAGAAGATGATTACTATATTTAGCATGTGGACTACGGGTATCTTTGGCCACATTTACGAGAACTTTAGTTTCTTCTATGGAGCATGGAACTAATTTCTGTAATATTATTTTGCGTGTAGGTTATGCCTGTAGACTTTAGGGGTATGATGCTTCTGTTATATCACATACATGAATTGTCCAAGGCATTGCACTTTTTTCTCTTATGGTTGTTGTGCCCTTTTCCATGGTCTGATACAGTTCTCCCCTTTCTTTTTTCTGTGTTAGATTCAAAGAAATCTACAGTTGCGAATAGAAGAACAAGGAAGGTACCTCCAGATGATGTTTGAGAAACAATGCAAACCTGGCATTGAAACATTTAAGGCATCGTCATCTGCCATTGAGAGTCCATCTGGAGTGTCTTCTGATGCCATGAAAGATTCTCCTACCAAAACTGAATTGGAAGCCTCCAAAGTGGACCATTGCAGGTCTGAGCCTGATCAAGCTAATGGCAGCGCCACAGTTGACGAAAGCTCGTCGGAAGTGGGTGGGAAGCCGGATGCTCCGGAAAGTCAAACTTCCGAGAATCCTAAGGAACATGCTAGTGAAGATAGTGCTCATGCCTCAAAGCGTCCAAGGACAGATGAGTAAGCCATATGATCTTCTGAATCAGGATTGAACTGACAAGACAATACTGATTCATTTAAGATTTTATTTTAGTAGAGAAGACTTGGTTGATTGATGTCTAGAGCTCCATAACTTACGAGTTTCCTCCTGTGCTGTTTTGTTCAATGAGGACTTGTATGTGTACCTTTTGTTTAGTTACAAATGATAAGAGTCAAAGTTTTGATCATGAAGTTCTTCAACATCTTATTTGGTATCCTGCTTAGGATGAGATTATAGTGTACAGTAACTACAAATAACGGTTACATCTCATATCATAGGTGAGGAATTAGGACATTATCTTGCCAAGATCATACTATCCAAATTTCTATGTTGGTATGTATCACATCTCTAATATGAACTGTTTGTTTTAACTGTACTGAAATTAAAAAATAAAATAAAAAATGGTACAATTCTAGTTCGTAATTTCGTTCTTGTTCCCTATTATTTCAACCATTTTATCAAATTAAAAAAGTAGTACAGACAAATAAACTATCACAAATTGATCTGCTTCCTGATGCTTTTATGGAAGTGAAATGTACAATACAGAAATGCAATGCATAATCGTCCAATTTAAATCATAACCCATTCAAGAAGAGAGAATTGAGTTTTTTTAGCTGAAAGAGAGAATTGAGAGTTGTATAATGTTATTAATATTATTTAATTATAAATATAGTAAATTTTTTATTCTTATTTAACTGTGTGCAATTTTTAATTATTAAAATAATTTCAATATAAAATTGGAATATGAATATAATTATTTGTTAGTTACATATACAAAATTAAGATATAATTTTATAAATTAAAAGTTAATAGTAAATTTGTGATCGAAGAGCTTCCTAGCAGGATCCCTGGCGTCGGGTAGAGATGAAAAGTCTGAGCAGAAATCAAACTCTTTTTAATCTCCTAAATGTTTTAAATTTAAATCATTTGATCTAAAAACGATACTGTTTTTAGGTTAGAAAAGATATATATATATATATATATATATATATATATATATATATATATATATGTGTGTGTGGGATAGGATCCTTTGACATCGGTGTCAAATTTTGAAATTTGACACCAAATCCCAACCGTTAATTTCCGTCAATCAACGATTATCATTTATTGGAAATTACACTTATTAATTAATTATTAATTCCAATAAATGATAACCGTTGATTGGCGAAAATCAACGGTTGAGATTTTGTGTCAAATTTCAAAATTTGACACCGGTGTCAAAAGATTCTGTCCATATATATATATATATAGGGAATGATCCGTTTATAAATTTTAACAAATTACACTATGTACTCCCGGAAGTACGTAGTATAACCTAGTGTACTTTCGGAAGTATATATGTAGTTTATAGGATTTTGTAAACAAAAAAATGTATAAATATAACATTTCCCATATATATATATAGGGGACGGTTATACTTACACCAGGTAAGTTTACCACCCTTACAACCAATCTCCCGACCGTTAGATTAGAATTGAATCTAACAGTCCATAATTATCCCTTATAATCTTAATTTTTTTTTTCTTCCATTCTCTCTCTGTCTCTCTCTAGGTTTGAGATCTGCACACCTTTCTCTCTAGATCTGGGAATCAACTCTCTCATCCTCTCTTTATCATCCTCATTTTTTCATTTCATGTTTTTCCTCCGATTGATTTCGATTGTAAACTAAATCGGTCACAATCTTTATGATGCTTTGTGGTTTATTCTGTTTGAATTTGAAACACCGTATACAGCCATGGATGCATGCTACGAATTGCTATGTATACGCTGAATGGGAATTCTTCCATTATTTTATACCAATTTATTCGTTATTAAAAAATCATTCTTTAATGGGAATTCATTGTAATCTGATTCCTTAAAAAGCGATGGGAATTGCTCCTTAATAAAAAGTTGTGAATTCCTTAAAAAATCTGATTCGCAACTTTTTTATTATAAACAATTCAACCATAATCATGGGAAGATGATCGATGGCAAATAATAAAAAAGCGATTTCATAATATCCTCCCACCATCATCAGAAACGGATTCATGAAACAAACTGGGACAAACCTTGAATTTTGATAGAAACTGTAACAATGAAGAGATGAATTTTGGAGAGGCGCAGTTTCCAAACCTAGGGAGGGATGAGAGAAAAAAATTAGAATTATAAGGGATAATTATGGGCCGTTAGATTCAATTCTAATCTAACGGTCAGGAGATTGGTTGTAAGGGTGGTAAATTTACTTGGTGGTAAGTATAACCCTCCCCATATATATATATATATGGGAAAAACATTTCTCAAGCTGCTTGAGATAATGTTATCTCTGGCCACCCCAAAACTACGTCGTTTTGTTTATTTATTTTCTTATATTAATTAATTTACTTTTGAATGGTTATGATTCCCTTTTTCTCTCTTTCTTTATCACCGTTCATCTATCTTTGTATGGTTATGATTTAGTAGCCGGAGATAACATTATCTCAAGCAGCTTGAGAAATGATAAGCCTTATATATATATAGAGGTTGGATCCTTTGACACCGGTGTCAAATTTCAAATTTGACACCTCATCTAAGAGCCATTAGATCAAGAAAAATCAACGGCTCTGATTTCTAAGCATGTGATATCATTGATTTTTTTTTATCTAAAGACTCTCAGGTAAGGTGTCAAAATTCAAATTTGACACTGGTATCAAATGATCCTACTTCATATATATATATATATATAGGGATAAGATATTGTGACAACCAAGTCATGTTACAATCATGTGACTACCAGTTAATCTCACCGTTAAATCAATTTTTTTATCCAACGATCCTGATTTAATCCTTATATACTCCCTCACTTTCCCTTCTCTCTCCCCTTTTCTTACCGGTCATACTCTCTCTCTTACCGGTCATACTCTCCACCGTCGCCGCCGCCTATAGCCGCCGTCGCGCGGACGCCCCTCCACCGCCGCCGTCGCGCCGCCTCACTCCACCGCCGCCGTCGCGCCTCCCCCCTAATCCACCGCCTTAAAATAAGGTATAAGAGACATACGCTCTGTTTTGTAAATGCGAAACTTTAATTTCCAGTTCTTGTGTGTGCTGAAAATTTAGGTGCTTATACAGATCCAGTTTAATTTCCAGTTCTTCACATAAACTTTAATTTCCGCCGCCGCAGGGTTAATGAGTGCTGAAAATTTTCATTTATCGTTATTAGGTGCTTATGCAGATCTTTCCTTTTTTGCTTTCTTTGTTCATATTCAATTAAAGACTTGGCACGACAATCGAAAATTGATTTCAAATGGTTAACAAGAATTGCTGTGGGTTGGTTCCAATTGTATACAGTATAGTATATAAAAGATGCATCGAATATGGTCTAGGGGTATATTGAATACATATAGCTATTACACTTTATAACCTTTTGACCAAATAAAGGATTGTATAAATCGGATACTTATTTCTTACTGATTCTATTGCATATTAAATTATTAATCCTGTTATGTTGTTGCTTCTTTGATACATTTGTTCTATACAATATAGATGCTTTGATTTGGATGAACTTTTACTGGTTTTTAGATAGTCAAATAAAAATGAGTTTTCCTATATTACAGTTTATTATGTAAAAGGCACCAAATCAAAAGTGACAATTATGAGAGAAGGATAGGGGTGGGGGTATGAGGGCATCCTTATAAGTAGTTACCTTTCATGGTGTTGTGACTCCAAAGAGTGTTCGTTATCTCAGATCACACAGAAAAATGTCTAATGCTGCAAGATCGTTGGTTGAACACTTTAGTGATGCAAGCTTGCCCACAGGAAAAGTGGCTACCATCTTCAAAGGTGATGAGTTATCATTTGACAGTCGAGATTGTTATAACCATCTAAAAAGTGTGAGGAGAAGAATATATAACGCAGGAGATGCACAAGCTGTGTTAAACTATTGTGCTAAACAACAATCATTGAATCCAAATTTCTTTTATTCCATTAAATGTGACGATGAAGATCGCATGGAAAGCTTTTTTTGGATTGATGCAAGGTCCAGGAAAGCTTATGAGCTTTTTGGTGATGTCATCACATTTGACACGACATATAAAACTAATAAGTATTCAATGCCATTTGGACCTTTTGTTGGTGTAAATAATCATTTACAGTCAATCTTGTTCGGATGTGCTTTATTGAAAGACGAAACAGAAGATACTTTCATTTGGCTATTTAAGGAATGGCTTCGAGGAATGAATGAGAAACATCCAGGCGCCATAATTACTGATCAGGTATAATCATTTTAAGTACATATTTTCAATTGTTTCATTTATTAATTATTGTATTCTTACATATGTCATTGAATTTATAGGACATGTCAATTACCAATGCAGTATCCAAAGTTTTCCCAAACAGCAAGCATCGATTTTGTATGTGGCACATCACAAAAAAGTTTCCAGAAAAATTGTCTCATGTCTATCAGCAGCATGCCACATTTAAGAGCGATCTCAATAACTGTATCCATACAAAAAAGAGCACTCAAGATTTTGAAGACAAATGGCAACGTATTCTTGATAACTATGGTCTTCATGAGAATGAGTGGTTGCAGTCACTTTATTCAATTAAAGCGTCTTGGATACCAATCTTTAACAGATCCATTTTCTTTGCTGGTATGAACACCACTCAGCGTAGTGAAAGCATCAATTCATTCTTTGATGATTTTGTTACATCTGGCACAACCTTAAAGGAATTTGTAGAAAAATATAATCAAGCAGTAGATGCTCGTTATGATTCATTCAAAAAACAAGACTTTGAATCTAGGCACAAAGAAAGGCGTTTAACATTGAATATGCCATTGGAAGAGCATGCAGCTAAAGTTTACACGCGTGCAATTTTCACAAAGTTTAGTGATGTGCTTTCTCATAATTTTCGTCTCTCTAAGGAGAAAATTGGAGGTGATGGTGAGTGGGTTACCTATCGAGTTTTTAATAGGAAAGAGAAGGATTATTCTGCAACTGTGAAGATGAAGTTGGAAAATAAAGAAGCAAGATGTTCTTGTCAGTATTTTGAGTTCATGGGAATCCCATGTGAGCATATTATTTCTATTTTTTTGGTTGAAAATGTTGAGCAGATCCCTGAACATATGATTTTGCGACGCTGGAGCAAGGAAGGAAATGATATAATTAGTACAAATAAATACATTTGTAATTTTGATGGTGAGGGACTCCTTCGCGGCTTTGAAATACGCATTAGAGTTTCAAAACTTATTGAGCTTGCAGATAGGTCCAATGAAGCAGCTAGATTCACTTGTAATGGTCTTGATTCTCTCACTGAATCTTTAGAAAAATTTCCAAGACATGATGAGAGTATTGGTCTTGAGGATTTTGATTCACATTACTTGAGTTCTCAAGCTGAAGAGTCATCTATGATGAGATTGAATGATCCTAACATTTCACAAACGAAAGGTCGAAAAAGGGAGTCACACAATATCTCACAGGGACGTAGAATTCATAGTGGAATTGAAGAAGCATCAAAGAATACTAATATTTGTGGAAATTGCAAGAAACGAGGACATAATAAGCGTACATGTAGAGAGAAAAATTTACATTGACTTTAGTTGTTTTTTATTTTACTTTGAGTTACATGACATTTGTTACATGATTATCATTTAATTTATTATTTCTTTTAGTTGCTATAAGACATATTGTATCATTGATATAATTATTTTTGTAATTTGGTTTATTCTTGTATTGAGTTTTTTATATTAGTGGCCATGTTTCTTTTTAATAATGTCAATTCACTTTCAAAAATATTGCAAGAAGGAGAAAAAGACGCAATTTTCAATACAATGAAACAATGTGTACAATATAAATTTTTATATCAGCATCCTTTTCAACCGAATTAGATAAACCTTGGTTTACAGGACAAAAATGTGCCTCAAAAAATACAAAAATAGCTTCTTATAAACAACAATCATAAAATACAAAAGTAAATTACATTATCATTATCAATTACCACAGTGCTTGTTCCATTTATCAAACTTCTCTTTTTTTACATGAATATAATGAAACAGATTCATACAAAAATAAGGGAGAATCTGATCAGGAGTCTTGTAAAGCTTCTATTTTATTAATCATGATGAACTAAAAAAAACCACCATAAAAATACATAATATCTTCACACCCCCTCACTATTTTACAGACTCCTTTACATGTTTGGTTGAAAACAGCAAGCAAATACAGAATTGTTTGACCACAATGTAAAAAAAACAGAGAGATTCCATTGACCCTAAGTGGATATTATCTTGATTCACACCCCCTCATCATAGCATGTATCGAGCACACCAACCATCGTCCAAGGGTCCCATTGTCTTGGTAACTTTGCACCATTACTCATTGATTGCTTGAACTGACTTGTGTTGGGGACCAAATGACATTTGTATTTTCCATCAACTAGCCATGAAGAACATATTGGCTCCAATCTGGTTCAACTTCAGCAACCTTGTTAGAATAATGAAGTTGAAAGGCATCAAAGGCTTCACATATAACAAGCATTGTTAGAATAATGAAATGACTGCACAAGAAAACATAGTAATTTTATCGATAAAAAGGCCTAAATAAGGGTGCTGTTATTGGCATTGTTGTGGGAGATATAATTGGAATTTGCCTTTTAGGTTTTCTGTTCTCTTACTGCACATCAAATGTACCTCACTTTACCTGCATAACATGTCTATGAAGTTGTATACTGTGCAATGGAACAAGTCCTTCCTTATAACGTGAGAAAACAATCAAAGATCCCTTGGCAACCATTTGAAAAAGCAACTGAAGTGAATCATCTTCTATCAAACTCTATGCTGCTGATGGATGGCTTGCTAGTGCTTTCATAATATGCACAACACTTCCCTCTACCTGCATAAGCAAAATAATTTAAAATGCAAATTAACCAAGCGCACAAACTTATCCAAATTATTTTCTTGAAACCAAGTCATGCTTTTTACTTTCTATGCTCTATGGAAAGGGTTTGGACTGAGGGAATTTAGAGCTTATGTGACAAGAACAATCAGAATTAAAGTCTCCAATTAGAAGTTAATATATTCAATTTATCAAAGACCTGTCAACCTTAAGGTTGTCATAAACAAGAGAAAAAAATTATTTCAACAAAATTGGGTGTCATCCAGACATGGTATATATATCATGGAGAGAAAAAAACCTCAAGCCAGCGGTCTTGCCCATCAAAGAACTGCATGACTATATATATTTCTCTTGAAAATAGCACATAGAAATAGCATGAAAATTAGGAACTGCATATGTCATTTAAACACACCCAAAAGGAAGAAGTCCATCTTCACAAACACACCCAAAAATATTTTTACATAGTTAAAGCATCTGAATATTCTGACCAATTTTTCAGTCAGTTATAAACATGCATTACACAGCTGACTTTACAAACAGACAAGGAAAAGCTGCCACATAGTAGGCCATGTCTGCTGCAGTTCATGAAGTGCAAATTAATGAATAAAAATTTATTCATATCCATTCCAACAGATACACAGAGACAGCCAGTGGTTGCATAGAAACCATCATTTCTGACTTACCCAGGAAATCCTCATCAAATTTGGCAGAGAAAATTCAGCTGTACGGTGACATTATTACCAGAATGGTTGTAAGAATTAAAGGAATTGTAACTGTATTCACAAAACTCAGATACAAACTGCAAAACTCTGAAAAATCCTACGGCTGCTAGTACATAATTCCACTTTCCCCAATCTCACAATGTTACAGTATTTTACAATAATATAAAATCTAAGGTTGTGTTCACATTTAGAAGAGCAGAACGAAAGGCTGACAAAACAGAGCGTAATGATTCTATACCTTATTTTAACGGCGGCGGCTGTGAATTAGAGGGGGTGGCGCGGCGGCGGCGGTGCGGTGGAGTGAGGCGGCGGTAGAGAGTGTGATGAGAGAGAAGGGAAAAGAGAGAGTATGATCAGAGAGAAAGGGGGGAGAGAGAAGGGAAAGTGAGGGTGTATATAAGGATTAAATCAGGATCGTTGGATCAAAAAATCGATTTAACGGTGAGATTAATTGGTAGTCATATGGTTGTAACATGATTTGGTTGTAACAATATCCTATCCCATATATATATATATATATATATATATATAGGAGAATATTATATATATATATATAGGAGAATATTATACTTACAACCTATTTTCGTTTATAACTTCTCACAACCATATCTTAACCGTTGATTTTCGTCAATCAACGGTTAAGATTTTTGCAAATCAAATCTATTAATTAATTATTAGTTCATAATAAATGACAACCCGTTGATTGACGAAAATCAACGATTAAGATATAATTGTAAGAGTTTGTAAACTAGTTGGGTTGTAAATATAACTCTTCTCATATATATATATATATATATATATATATATATTATAATTTAACTGAAACTTATAGCCAATATATCATATTTATGGAAAATTTCATTATATTTATTTATTTATTTGTTTTGATGGGCACATCGTCATGCAACTATAAATAAATAAAATTAGAAAAAATAAGTGGGCTACATGTAAAATGCTCCTATATATATTTTGAAAATAGTGTAACAAACAATAAAGTATTTTGTTCCAATAATGTAAAGTACATCGTACGTAGCAATGGTGTAATGTGTAAAGTTACTATGTAAATAGGAAGTAAAAATAATATATAGGTTCATTTAACCTCATTAATTATATAATCACTACCTAGGGTAACAAAAGACACGGCATTCATTCGTTCATTTATTGTTCTCTCCTTTGAGGATGCTATCAGCACTTGAGCATTAACCTTAAAGCAGTTGCGGCTAACGATGAGGAATATTGGGAATGTGAACGTGATTTATTTTCCATTCAACCTTTTTCATTACATAATCACCACTCCCTAGTGTAACAAAACATACTGAACTCATTTATTTTCCTCTCTTTTTCTTTCCACTCAACAATATATAAGGCTAGTATATATATATATATATATATATAAAAGCAAGTTTGCTTCACAGAAGACTAGTTATGGTACCTACATGGCTCTATTTCTGGAACCCTGTAAGCTTGCTTATGGTTATCATGCCAAATGGCTCAGAAAGACAAGCCTGTGTAGTAGCTGATAGTTCTTGTGCAACTGAACGCATCATGGGTCTAGACTCTGGAGCCACACGCGTGCAAGCCAAAGCTGTGGTCACTGTGAAAATTACTGCTTCTGCTATTTGGCCACTTGGAGATGGAAGCCGTTGGTCTAGCACATCCTTCAGAAACACTTGTGGATCCTCCAATGATGACAAAAACTTGTTTGAAGACAAGGTAGCCAAGAGTTCTCCAGGGTGGTTTCCCATCATTATCTCTAATACCACCACTCCAAAACTATAGACATCACATTTGTCAGTGACCCTCATGGTTTGTGCTAGCTCTGCAAATTTCTAATTTTGTTAGTGATTGACCCTTTAATGTATATGACAAGAGTATAAAAATTGGAATTTAAATTGGTTGGATTATGTACCTGGAGCCATGTAGCCATAGGAACCAGCAACTGAGGTCCAGGTTGAAGTGTTAGAGATAAGCAACTTTGCTGTGCCAAAATCTGCAAGATGGGGTTCAAAGTCTGAGTCAAGTAGTATGTTATTCAATGTTACATCTCTGTGCACAACTGGTGGGGAACAGTCACTGTGCAGGTAGGAAATTGCATGCGCTATTCCCTGCACAATTTTCAACCTTGTTTCCCAGTTTAGATCCAATTTTCCTTTCTCTCCATACAATACTTTCCCCAAACTTCCTCTATCTATATATTCATAAACCAAGAACATTTGTCTCCCCCTAGAACAGAAACCATAAAGCTTTATTATATTGCGGTGCCTCACTCCTGTAAGCGTTTTTATCTCATTCAGAAAACTCTGGCGGTTCACTGCTGGAATGTCATTAGAGTCTGATATATTGAGCCTTTTAACAGCAACAATTTGACCTGTAGGTAAGTCTGCTCTATAAACACTTCCAAATCCTCCTTTTCCAATGCAGTAATTTTCATTGAAGTCATTGGTGGCCTTAACAAGTTCAGAAAAAGTGCATTGTCCATCTCTTCCCCATAACATGCAAATAGACTGATAATTATTTTCAATGCTTTTGGACTCTTCATCAAGGTGTTTTGCTTGCCTTCGGTATAGTAGGATTCCAACACCAATCATCAAAATAAATAGTAACCCCACTGGTAAAATGAAACCAAGAAGAACCTTTTTGTTAACCCCTCCGGATTTGTCTGGGGAAAATACATTGGTGCAATTTAATCCTTCTACCTCACCACACAAACCTGAGTTCCCAACATAAGCTTTGGCAGTTGCTGTCTGGAAAATTCCACCTTTTGGGATTAAACCAGTCAAGTGGTTGTAAGAAAAATCAATAGATTGAAGGCTGAGCATACTTGAAAAGGACTGTGGTATTGTCCCTGATAGATTGTTGTGTGAGACATTGAGAATCTCCAATGATGTGAGCTTTCCAAGGTTTTGAGGAATTTCCCCTGAAAGAGAGTTGCTGCTGAGGTCCAACAAGTATTGGAGTGAGAACAGATTTCCAAGTTCATATGGTATCTCCCCAGACAAATTGTTATGGCTTAAGTTCAGGCTCAGTAAGCGATTACAGTTACTTAGCTCTTTAGGAATGCTTCCACTGAAATTGTTATCTGATAAATCAAGGGAATTAAGCTGAGCCAATTTGCCAATACTCTCAGGGATTTCTCCTGACAAAGAGTTCCTGCTCAAGTTGAACATGTAGAGCAGGCTTAGATTTCCAATTTCAGGTGGGATATTGCCAGTGAATTCATTGGAATGAAGGTTTAGATATTGTAATTGACTCAACTTACTTAGCTCAGATGGAATTTTTCCAGAAAGTTTGTTTCCACTCATTTCTATCTCAGTCAAGTTGACAGATTCACCCCACTGAGGGGAGAGCTCACCAACAAGTTGATTTCCACTGAGTGAGATAAAAACAAGATTTGTGTAAACCCCAAATGCTTCTGTGATGTTTCCAGTGAACTGGTTTTCATCAAGCCTAACTCTAATTAGGGATGAACAATTTCTCAATGACTTTGGCAATGATCCTGAAAAGCTGTTGTTATTGACTGCCAAAGCAGTTAGCATGAGACCACTGCACAAGTCAGGAGGCAGTTCTCCTGAGAAGCTGTTGTTTGAAAGGTAGACATGAGTCAAAGAAGGACTATTCTTCCCAAAATCTCTGGGAATGCTTCCTGAGAAGTTATTGGTGAACACAGAAAAAAATGTTAAAGTGGTTAGTTGAGCAACGGTCACTGGCAACTCTCCATCCAAATTATTGTCATTGACATCAAAAATTTGCAGTGAGGTTAAGTTTCCAATATCCATGGGAATGGTTCCAGAGAGCTTATTGAAGAAAAGATTCATGACTATAATGTTTGTCAGATTCCAAATGGTTGGTGGAATTGGACCAGATAAGTGGTTTCCTGAAAGGTCTAATTCTGTCATTTCCTTCAGGTTTCCAACCTCTTCAGGAATGGGACCAGAGAACAGATTCTTGTAAAGAAAGAGGAGTCCAATTTTTTTCAACAGGCCAATCTGTGGAGGAATCTTTCCTGTTAATTTATTATATTGGAGTTGCAGAGAGGTTAACTCAGTCCAGTTAGAGATCAGTGAAGCAGAAATTTGACCAGAAAAAGAATTTTCTGATAGTCCCAACTGTGACAGTTTGACAAGATTAGCTAATGACAAAGGCAAGGAACCAGTCAGATTATTTGTTGCTAAACTCAGGAAGGTTAGATTTGTGCATAGGCCAAGCTCAGAAGGGATTGTAGAGTTCAAAAAATTATCACGGAGATCAAGATATTGTAGCTCTTTGAGTTGGCCTAAGGAGGAAGGAATTTCCCCATGGGCTGAAATGTTATTCAATTCAATAAATTGAAGACCAGATATCAATCCTATGTCTGTGGGAATAGGACCAGAAAACTTGTTATTACCTAAACGAAGTTCTTTGAGATTAGAGAGCAATGACAAGTTTGATGATAGTTTCCCTTCTAGCCCACAGTTGGTGAGGTTGAGGTATTCTAGCTTGCCCAAGTTGCTATACATGGATTCTGGTATTGTGCCTTTTAAATTATTCTGAGAGAGGTCAAGGTATGTCAAGTTTTTGCACCCCAGTATGAAACTTGGGAATTCAGCAGTGAATTCATTGAGATCCAAACCAAGGTAAGTTAAGGAAAGCATGGATGAATATTGGGACCAGTCAGGAGGAGATATAAAGGAGTTGAATCCAAGATTCAGGTACCATACCTTGGGGAGATTGGTGAGCTGATAAGGAATGGTGCCATTGAGATCGTTGATGTAAAAACTAATATACTGAAGTTCCCTTAACTGGCCTATCTCAGAAGGTATTGTGTCTTCAAATAAGTTGTTACCAAAGTCCAAGAAAGTGAGCTTGGAGAGGTTGCCAATTGTTGATGGTATTGATCCACCAAAACTGTTACCATTGAGGTTGAGGTGTGTGAGGTTGGGGAGGGAAGCAAAATCCAAGTCATTGAGTGTCCCAGTGAGATTGGCACCAAGGAAGTTTATCTCTGAGACTGTTGTAGAAGTGTTGTCACAAACAACAGAATCCCAGTTGCAAAGGTTGCCAAGGTTGGTGAGTGACCATGAGTTGAGAGAAGGAGGAAGAGGAGTTGATAGAGTGTTCTTCCATTTGACAAGGGCTTCAGCTTCTGTTCTTGGTGATGCTGTGATTTTCAATGGAAGCAAAGATAACACAAATATATGAAAGAGAAGAGCATGAGTCTTGTGAAAAGTTGTCATGTCTCACACAGGATATACGCTCTATGTTAAAGTTATATTCTCTTATATATAAGAGTCATTTCTGTTAAGGTTTATGAGTTGTCAAACATGTTCTGACAATTAGAATCCAACAAGGAATTAGTTAAGCCAGTTTCTGTTCATAAAAGGCACAGAGGAAAGGATAATATCTTTGAGCAGGTACGACATATCTTTGACCAGTTACGACGGTGGTTAAAAATGAGATTACAAATCATGTATCGTAAAAATATATATTTATTGAAAAAAGTTATACTTACAATTTTTTTACCAATTTTTTACAATTATATCTTAATATTGTTGATTTTCGTCAATCAACAGTTATCATTTATTGTAAATTAGTAATTAATTAATGAGTTTAGTTTGTGAAAATTATAACTATTGATTGGCAAAAATCAATGATATTAAGATATGATTGTAAGAGGTTATAAAAAAAAAATATAAATATAACCTTCCTCGTAATTATAATATTAAAGTTATTTTTTTCTATTTTCAAGAAACATGTCAACTAATATATTATGCTCTTATTGGATGATTTTTTTTTTCAAGAAACATGTCAACTAATATATTAAGAAAAAGTATTTATCCTTTTAAATGTCACAACTTATATCCTTTCACTTTTACAAAGAGGTGAGACTTACACTTTTATTTTTTTTGTCAACTCTCTCTCCTCCTTTATCCATCTCTTTTTTTCTCTCTTAAAATAACATAATTTTACATCATTTAAAATGATACACACTTTTATCAGTATATTATATATTTTGCTCCTATATTAGATGGATGTACATACGACAATAACTATGTTTGTGATGTGATTATAACTGTATTCCTTTATTTTTTTAACAATGAAATGCAAGCTGTGGATAGTCTTAGCAGCAGTTCCATTGTTTTTTTGACTTTATCGTTAGTGTTATCTTAACGAGCGGTGTGTTATTTTCACATTAAAAAAAGTTACCCACAGTCCAAATTATTAATAATACATTCACCTTTTACATGTTCACTCCAAAAAATATAGTTTTATTTGCTGCACGTGTAATTAGGCCTCTGAATATTACTGTCGGTTTGGATCTAACTAAAATTCTATATTAGTGACAAGTTATTTGGTCCAAGTTCAGGCTATGTCATATAGTTAGATTTATGAGAAACCTTTTTTTTTTGGAAAATATTTTTAAAGGCTTTAATGTTTTTATGAATATAGATAAGTTATTTATATTCACTCCCAAAATGATATCATTTTGGATTGAAAAATAAAAAAATTATAATAAAAAAAACTATTACAAGTTATTTACCTTGATTTTCGCATCAAAATGATATTATTTTAAGTTCAATGAAAATAAGTTATCTACGTTGATAAAGCTAACTCATTTTTTAAATTGAGTTTTGTGAATGTATAACAGTCAAGGTGACGTTGATAGCCAATGATTGCTTTTGTTTTTAATCGTTATTTATACGCAAGTTAGGACTTTTTTTATTAGCATTAGAGACTTTATTTTATTTATTTTTTGTTATCGCAATAATTTTTTTCTTGTTGTGAGATTGGTAATCATATTACGTGAAGAAAAAATTAATTTAGGGTCAGAGTCTTTTTAAATGTTAATATTAGTCAGTGTTAGCGTTTTCCGTTTTAGGAACTATTCTTTTACATTTGGGTCAAATTATGACGGCCTGTTCAACACCTATATTTTTAGTATAAGTCCTTTTCTCGAAAAGAAATTTATTAAAAATTTATTGCTAATGGTGTTTTTCAAATTTTCATATTTCAAAAGTCCTATTTGAAAAAAGAAGAGTAGAATAAAAAATCAAAAAATTATTGCTAATGGTGTTTTTCAAATTTTCATATTTCAAAAGTCCTATTTGAAAAAAGAAGTGTAGAATAAAAAATCAAAACTTCAAAATGTCTTTGTCCGCCTTAAATATCCTTGCAAGTTCAACGGCGGAACTTGACCACATGGAGGCAAAAATTTGAAGTTTCAACTTTCAATACTGGAAAATTCAAAAGAAACTTTGGTATGGCCTCCTCCAATTAAATGTCTATTATTCTAAAATAATTAATGGTAAATACTTGATTGAAATATCTTATTTTCAGTTTTTAGTCAAATATAATTTTACAAAAGTTGTTATCACTTAAAGAATTTTTTTATACATTAAAAAAGAAGAAGCTAAAAGCTCCTATGAAGAACTTTTTTTAAGGCTTTGTTTGGGAGTTTGGAGGAAAAAAAAAGGAAAGGGATCCAATCCAAGGGAGGAAGGGAGGGGAAGGAAGAGAAGAAAATTGAAGGGCCCTCCTTTGTCTGGGAGTTAAAAAAATGGTAAGGGAGAAAAATAAAGGATTAGTGAGATATTTTTATCATTTTATACCATTTTTAAAATAAATATAATCATTAAATTTTACAAATTAAATTAAATTGAAAATTTTTAACAAATTTATTTATGTACTTTTCACAATACTAAAAAAGATCATATTTTTGACGAAATTTATACATTGCAAACGATGAAAATTTTGTCATAAAATTATTTTTTTGTTGGAATACATTTCGTCTAAAAGCGACGAAATTTTTTCTTCTATGAAAATTTTAACAAAATGAAATTTTCTATTGAAATTTTTGACGCAATTTAGTTTCTGTAAAATTTTTTGACAAAAATGATTTCCTCCATTAAATGTTATAAACGAAAAAAGAATTTCGTTAAAATTTTTGACGAAATGCTTTCCGTTCAAAATTTTGATGGAAATGTGTTCTGACAAAAATTTCGACGGAAATTATTTTGTCAAAATTTTTGAGGGAAATATTTTATTCAAAACTTTCGACGAAATTTAGATTCTGTGAAGAATATTGACAGAATATTTTTTTGGTCAAAATTTTTTATCACTATTTTTAGTCAAAATTTTTTAAGAAAATATTTTCTTTCAAAATTTTTTGACAGAAATGTGTTCCGTTGAAAATTGTGATGGAAATGTTTTTCATCAAAAAATTTGACGAAAATATTTCCGGTCGAAATTTTTTGATGGAAATGTATTTCGTGAAAAATTTTGACGGAAATTTTTTTTGTTAAAAAGTTTAAGGAAAATGTTTCCGTCGAAAACTTTTGACGAAATTTAAATTCTGTAGAGAATTATGATGAATTTTTTTCCGTCAAATTTTTTCGATGAAAATGTGTTTCGTTGAAAATTTTGATGAATATATTTTTCATCAAAATTTTTGATGAATATGTTTTTTTGTGAAATATTTTGACAATATTTAGATTCCGTAAAGAATTTTGTTAAAAAAAAATTTGCCTCAAAATTTTTTACAAAAATATTTTTAGTCACAAATTTTGATGGACATAATTTCCGTAAAAAATTTTGACTTAATTTTTTTACGTCGAATTTTTTTGAGAAAAATGTCTTTCGTCAAATTTTGGACGGAAATATTTTCGTTGAAAAAAATTTAAATTTTATCAATAATTTTGATTTAATATTTTTTTCATAAAAAATTTATGTCATTGATTATGGCAAAATCTGGTTCCGTCTCTAATTTCGTCTTTAGTTTTGACGAAATTTTTTTGACGTATATGATTTTCATCAAAAATTTCATTTCTATTTTTGACGAAATATTTTTTCGTCGATAAATTCTGTCGATAGTTGATACTTTTCTTATAACGTCATATTTAAAAATAATTCACATTTATGTAGTTTTTATTTTTTTAATGCTAAGATAGATAAGTAATTTTTAATATTTTTTCCCTTAAATCTTCCAAATTGGAGGAACTTTAATTTTAAGAAGAAGTAGAGTTTTGGAGGGTTTAGTAAAAATTCACAATTTCTTTCCCTCATTTTTTTAAACTCACAAACAAGGGAGGAGCTTACTAAAATTCTCCCTTTCTTTTCCTTCCCCTCCTAAAACCAACTCCCAAACAAAGCCTAAGATGTATGTCATCTTTTTGGAGTTCTCATATTATTTTCCCTCCTTCAAAACCCTCAAAATAGTTTTATATAATTAACAAACAACTTTTAACTTCATTTTTTAAATATAACTTAAAAATAAAATATAGCAAATAGGCTCTGAATGGCATCATGTGTTACAGGTAGCACCTTCTAAATAAATAACCAACATTTATGCAAAAAGAAAACATTTTCGATAAATAATTAACAACAAAACTTTGTTATAGTACATATAAAAAAAAACTTATAACATTGAAACATTCGTAACAACAAAAAGATTTTTTTTATGAATATTAAGTAATACTGCATAAATTTTCATCTACTTTTATAAATATCATATCATATACCAACTAAATAAAAACAACAATCTCAAGTTAAAAAACATATATAAAAAGATGGATGCAATGAACTTAATGCACGAGTGTTCATAAGTTAGATTTAACATGGCTTATTTTCGATCTTTTACTTTAGTTAATCTAACCTTTTCGTCCAATCAGAACTTGACAAATTATTAAGTGATAAATCGGTATAATATTATTGAGTTGTCATGAATAAACGTACAATATATTAATTGAATATTTACATTTATCAATAATTGAAATATGCACGTATTCAACTTCACTCTCAATTTATTAACTAACTTATCATTATTTAAAAAAAATAAAGTATCATTTTTAAATAAAAGGTATACACGTTATTATACCCAAGGCTAGTTTTATATGAACAGTGTGTCTTTTGTTTGAATCTAACACATTTATACTTTCCATTTACATCGCATAGTTCAAATCTCTCTATGCTGCTTTTTCAGATTTTTAAATATGTACTGCTGTTGTAAAAAGATACACATCGAATTTCCATGTATGACTACTATAGAATTCCTCATTTTCTTATATAAACACATGACAAAATCACAATCCAACTTATGTTTAAAATCAAACGGATCATTACTTGCCAGTAGAATAAAACCTGTGTGGGTTCTATCAAACCCAGGAGGATTTGATTCATCATGAGACATCTCGTAGTGCTAATATTACTGATTTGTGGCTAAATTTTGTTGGCAAATAAT